TTGACAAGTTGCATAACCATGGATTCGTTTCCTTTAGTGTCTGATTCTTAATAAAATTCCTTCTTCAGCTCAAGAATGCAAGTTTTCTTCGTACTTTCAGGTAAATCGTATTTATGAAAACAACCTATCAAAGCATTTTCAATAGAACCTATTAATCTATCAAAAAAGAATCACTAAAAAACCATGGTCTGAACAGACAGTGGCGGGAAGGCCTTCTAGTCTTGGTCCAAAATTTGATTCTTTTAACTTACTAAATGGGCCTAGTCTATTGTCCATCTTGACCCGCTGCACTTACAAGGATTTGCAAACCATGCTCCGAAACGAGGTCGTAGGTGTCAAGGAAAATGCTCTCACTAACCTGGCAAAAACCAACATTTAGTCCCTTATCTTACAAAATTAATAGGTTTTAATTTTTCACCATATAATATGACACTTTTAACCATTTATCTTACAAAATTAGTAAGTTTTAACCCCTTACCTTACAAAATTAATAGATTTTAACTCCTCACTTTATATTATAACATTTTTAACCCCTCACCTATACAAGTTGAAGAAAATGACTTCCACCTAAATTAGGTTATAACATTTTATTAGTTTTATTAACTGACTATTAACATCCGTTAGTATTTCGTTATAGAAAATATGAAATTTAAATTCTATTTTATTTGTTAGTTCCATTAATGAAATGCTAACGGATGCTAACAGTCAACTAACAGTCAGCTAACAGAACTAACAATTAGTTAACAGAACTAACAGTCAACTAACAGAATATTTTAATCTGATGTTAAGTGAGAGCTATTTTTTTCAATTCGTATAGATAAGAGTTAAAACTATCATAATATACAGTGAGGGGCTAAAACCTACTAATTTGTAAAGTGAGGGGTTAAAACCTACTAATTTTGTAAGATAAAAAGCTAAAAGTGTCATATTATAAAGTTAGAAACTAAAACTTATCAATTTTATAAGGTGAGTGACTAAAAGTTAATGGTTAAATACCCTTTTTGGTCCCTCTACTATAGGAAAAAGCCCTTTTTTGGTCCCTGTACCGAAAAAATCCCCTTTTTAGTCCTTACTGTTCACAAATCCGACCCCTTTTTGGTTCTTCCGTTAATTTTTGCTCACGTGGCACGTTAACTTAACTGGAACAGCTGACGTGGGTATGCCAACTGGTAAAAGATGCTTACGTGGACTCCACGTCATCCTCCACGTAGACTCCACATCACCCTCCACATGGACTCCACTTCCAAAAAATAAAAAAAAAGGGTGACGTGGAGTCCATGTGGAGGGTGATGTGGAGTCTACGTGGAGTCCACGTAAGCATTTTTTACATGTTGGCATATCCACATCAGCTATTTCAATTAAGTTAATGTGTCATGTGAGCAAAAATTAACGGAAGGATCAAAAAGGAGCCGGATTTGTGAACAGTAAGGACTAAAAAGGGGATTTTTTCGGTACAAGGACCAAAAAGGAGCTTTTTCCTATAGTAGAGGGACCAAAAAGGGTATTTAACCAAAGTTAATTTTAGCCAAGTAACGCCGCCTCTCCTCCACGTTGATAGGCAGGCAAATAATTTAAGTTATTTTAAATTCTAAATTAAAAAAAAAATTCATCACTCACTTTTTAAAAAATTTTCAAATAAAATTTTAAATTTATTAGAAATAAATAGTATTTTTAAAACAAAATTTTTTTAAATTTAGTCAATTACTATCTTTATTTAGCTTCTTCTTCTTTTTCCATTTTTTTTATACCTTGTGGAGCCATGCCCACTCAAAGAAAGTTGCAAGCTTCGCGCGGATCCAAGGTATATTGGTCAAGCAACAAAACCCCACGTTAAGAAGAGGACAAAATTACATAGATCATAAGATTTAAAAGTTTATTTACTTCAAAAGAATTTAAAATTTTAATTAAAAATAGAGTCTAATTTTTTTTTTTTTGAATGGTTACAATTTAGAAGTAGGGAGAAAAGAAATATTTATATGGTATTATCATAGTTTAAATTTTGATCCCAATCAAAGAATTAAACGCATTAATTAATTGATCTGCAAGCTGTGGTGCAAATAGAGTCTGAACTTTAACACGAAATTTTACCAATAATAAAATCAAAATCAGCATTTAGTTATAGAAGTCAAATGAGAAGGAAGGGAACAATAAAAAAAGGCAAAAATTCTCCTTAAACCTTCAAACTTACCTTAAAATAGCATTTAAACTCCTAAATTAAAAATGAAGCAAATAGACCCTTCTCACAAACGGACCAACCAATGTATCTCACGTTGGACTAACTCCGTTTCTTTTTGGACTTCCACTAATCCATGTAGATATATATGCTGATGTGGCACTACTCCATGTATAAAGGATCAAAGTGCTTATTGTATAAAAGTTAAAGTACCAAATAAGCTATTTACCATTAAAGAAATAAGCAGGAGTAATAACCTGCCACGGGTATGGTGTTGACACATACTTTGTGTTGTAAACACCATGCATTAAGCCTTTACTAAAACAGTTTAACATGAAATAACCAAAAGTGCATATACCAAAAGCACATTTAACATTAATAATTTTTTTTGGCAAAAAAACCTTTTCTTAAGCCCTTCAACTTTATTCACAGCAAGTGACAAGTCGCTAAACTAAAAAGGTGACAAATAAACCCTCCAATCTCATGTTGGATGTGACTCAAGCCTTTCACTAACTGATTTCATGACGCCGTTAGTTATTGGCTACGTGGCATTGCACTTGCACACCTTTACATGCTTTTTTTTCTACCTTTAATTCATTTGTTTTTAGTTTGAATATATTTTTAATTAATTAATTAATTTTTTAAATTAATTAATTAATATTATATAATATACATATCTTTAAGTATCTTTTAATAAAAATTGATACATTTTTTAGTTTAATTAATAATATATTTTATTTTAATAATTTTTATAAATTATTTTTTAAATTTAATTAAACCACTTAATTAATAAAAAAAATTTAACATGATCTTTATTTTTCTCATTAATTTATTTTTTCGTTCAAATTTAGTAGATTTAATTTCTTATTTAATGCATTCAAATTTAACTATCCACTTTTTCATTTTCAAAATGTAATTTAATATATTTATTCCTATTAAACCTCGTTTTAAAAAAGATAATTATAATATATATTAAATAAAAAAATCTTATTAAGTGGTATTTAATTCAAATTTGGTAGATTTAATTTTTTATT